TCTGCTCCCTTTCCATGTACAGGGTGACAGGTCTGGTCTCCGCCCCCTCCTGTAGTTTTATAAAGTGGGTGGGGTCTGCTGGGCTCCTCCCACAGCTCTGCTCCCTCTCCTTGTACAGGGTGATAGGTCTTGTCTCCGCTCCCTCCTGTAGTTTTATATAGTGGGCGGGGTCTGCTGGGCCCCTCCCACAGCTCTGCTCCTGCTCCTTGTACTGAGTGACTAGTCTTGTCTCCGCCCCCTCCTGTAGTTTTATAAAGTGGGTGGGGTCTGCTGGGCCCCTCCCATAGCTCTGCTCCCTCTCCTTGTACAGGGTGACTAGTCGTTGTCTCCGCCCCCTCCTGTAGTTTTATATAGTGGGCGGAGTCTGCTGGGCCCCTCCCATAGCTCTGCTCCCTCTCCTTGTACAGGGTAACAGGTCGTTGTCTCCGCCCCCCTCCTGTAGTTTTTTTAGAGAATGGGGTCTGCTGGGCCCTCCCACAGCTCTGCTCCCTCTCCATGTACAGGTTGGCTAGTCTTGTCTCCACCCCTTTCTGTAGTTTTTTGTAGTGGGCAGGCTGCACAGGCTATGGTACAGCACAGGTATGATGTCACAGCTACCGCACTTTTACAAGGTAATATCTGGAATTGTGAAGGAATTTGGTGCACATAAAGTGGAATTCTAACCTTTGTGGCGATTTAGGAATAAAGTTAAATGTAAGTTGTTTTTGGTGTTTTTTTCCCCTCTGATTTGTACTTTAATCTCCAGCATCCACCGACCAATAAAATATCAGTTCTGGGTGGAGTGACGCAGCAAAGATCCTCCGGAGATGAGACGACCATCAGCCAACCAGAGGATTCCGCATGACCGTGTCTGACAGTTCTCGTTTTGTCTTTTGTTTCAGGACCTGTCTGGGGGCCCGGGACCCGTACTGCGGATGGGACAGCAAGAAGAAGCGCTGCACCACCCTGGAGGACAGCTCCAATATGAGCCTCTGGTTCCAGAACATCACCGAATGCCCGGTAAGTGATGACATCATAGTGCCTGGAGTGGGGAATCATCTCACATTCACACCTAGGTGCAAAGTCGTGACGCATTTATGTGCGCTTTGCGCTCATTCCTGTGCTCCCCGCATTTCCCAATGGAGAGCCCGAGACACAATCCGGCGCTTCCTGCTGGTAGCAATAGAGGCGGTCAGAGACTGGAACGTCCCCAATCATCTCTATGATCTAGAACAGTGGTCTCCAATCTGCTGACTGGGGGCCAGATGTGGCCCTTTACTCTTTTATCCAGCCCTTGGAGCACGGTTCTATCCACTGATACCAACAGTGGGACATAATTCCCCCCAGTGACACCACTGAAGGGGCAGAATTCCTCCCAATGACACTAATGATCCAATGATGGGACACAATTCCCCCTAGTGTCACCAATGATGGGACACAATTCCTGCCAATGACACCAATGATGGGATGCAATTCCTCCCAATGACACCAATGATGGGACACAATTCCTCCCAATGACACCAATGATGGGCACAATTCCTCCTAGTGACACCAATGATGGGACCCAATTCCTGCCAGTGACACCAATGATGGGACCCAATTCCTGCCAGTGACACCAATGATGGGACCCAATTCCTGCCAGTGACACCAATGATGGGACACAATTCCTGCCAATGACACCAATGATGGGACACAATTCCTCCCACTGACACCAATGATGGGCCACAATTCCTCCCACTGACACCAATGATGGGGCACTATTCCTCCCACTGGCACCAATGATGGGGCACTATTCCTCCCACTGACACCAATGATGGGACACAATTCCTGCCAATGACACCAATGATGGGGCACTATTCCTCCCACTGACACCAATGATGGGGCACTATTCCTCCCACTGACACCAATGATGGGGCACTATTTCCCCTGACCCAATGATGGGGCACTATTCCTCCCACTGACACCAATGATGGGGCACTATTCCTCCCACTGACACCAATGATGGGGCACACTCTTCCTCCCACTGACACACCAATGATGGGGCACTATTCCTCCCACTGACACCAATGATGGGGCACTATTCCTCCCACTGACACCAATGATGGGGCACACTATTCCTCCCACTGACACCAATGATGGGGCACTATTCCTCCCACTGACACCAATGATGGGGCACTATTCCTCCCACTGACACCAATGATGGGGCACTATTCCTCCCACTGACACCAATGATGGGACACTATTCCTCCCACTGACACCAATGATGGGGCACTTTTTCCTCCCACTTGACACCAGTGATGGGACACAATTCTTTGCCAATTCACTAACAATGGGACACAACTCCTCCAATGTCACCAATGATGGGACACAATTCCTCCTACTGACACCAAAGATGGGTCCCCGTTGATGGGACTTTTTCTTCTCCCAATGGCCACAGACACTCCCCCCCCCCCCCCCCCCCCCAATGTCTGAAGTACAGTAAACTGGCTCTTTGTTTAAAGAGTTTTGGAGACCCCAGGCCTAGAAGACTCTGACGGGGGAGAGACCTGTGAATAAACAACACAGATCTCTCCCATCAGCTCCAGCACACTGCTTTGTATGGCTCTGCATAGCAGCATGCGTACAGTGAAACACACGCAGCACACAGTTAACCCTTTGATGGCCCCAGATGTTAACCCCTTCCTGTCAAGTGCCATTAGTACAGTGTTGGTACATTATATCACTGATCACTGTATTGGTGTCACTGGGGATGTCAGTGACACCAAGTCAGTTCCCCCCCAGCGTCAGAATGCCCGCCGCAGTCCCGCTGTAAGTCGCTGATCGCCGCCATTGCTAGAAAAAAAAATCCCAGTATCTATCCCGCCATTTGTAAACGCTATAACTTTCACGTAAACCGATTAATTTCCACGTATCGGGATTTTTTCAGCGAAGACACGGAGCTGGAGACATTTGGCCGAAATTTATGATGAAATTTGATTTTTTATTTTTTTTTTACTGGACACGTTTAATAGCAAAAAGTAAATAATATTTTTTTTTTCTCAAAATTGTCGGTTTTTCTTGTTTATTGCGCAAAAAATAAAAACCGCAGAGGGGATCAAATACCACCGAAAAAAGCTCAATTTGTGGGGGAAAAAGGATGTAAATTTAATCTGGGTGCAGCGTTGCATGACCGCGCAATTGTCAGTTACAGTAACGCAGCGCCGTATCGCAAAAAGTGGCCCGATCAGGAAGGGGGGAGGGGGGATCCCCTGGAGGGGGAGGGGTTAATAGCAAAAAGGCAAAAATATTGTTCTAAAGCTCTATTTGTAGGGAAAAAAGGAAGTAAATTTCATTTGGGTGCAGTGTTGCATGACCGCGCAATTTTTGGCCGAAATTTATGACGACGTTTGATTTTTTACATTTTTTTTACTGGACATGTTTAATAGCAAAAAGTCAAAAATATTGTTTTTTTTCTCAAAATTGTCGGTCTTTTTTTTTTTTTTATAGTGCACAAAATAAAAACCGCAGAGAGGATCAAATACCACCTATCTGTGGGGAAAATAAGATGTAAATTTAATTTGGGTACAGCGTTGCATGACTGCGCAATTACATTTTGGCCGAAATTTATGACGAAATTTGAGTCTTTACATTTTTTTTTACTGAACGTGTTTTATAGCAAAAAAGTAAAAAATATTGTTTTTTTTCTCAAAATTGTCGTTTTTGGCGCAAAAAATTAAAAACGCACAGGCCATCTAATACCACCAAAAGAAAGCCATATCTGTGGGGGAAAAAAGGCCGTAAATTTCATTTGGGTGCAGCGTTGCATGACCGCGGAACTGTCAGTTAAAGTAACTCAGCGCCACATCACAATAAATGGTCTGGTCAGGAATGGGGGGGGGGATCCTCTGGAGGGGTTAATAGCAAAAAGTCAAAAATATTTTTTTTTTTCTCAAAATTGTCACTAGGGGGGGGGGGGGGGGGGGGGTGCAACGTTGCATTACCGCGCAATTACATTTTGGCTGAAATTTGATGAAATTTGATTTTTTTTTACTGGACATGTTTTATAGCAAAAAGTCAAAAATATAGTTTTTTCCTCAAAATTGTTCTTTTTTTTTTTTTATACGGAAAAAAAATAAAAAACCGCAGAGGGGATCAAATACCACTGAAAGAAAGCGCAATCTGTGGGGGGAAAAAAGGACGTACTGTAAATTTAATTTGGGTGCAGCGTAGCATGACCGCGCAATTACATTTTGGCTGAAATTTATCACGAAATTTGATTTTTTTTTTCTTTTTTTTTTTTACTGGACTTGTTTTATAGCAAAAAGTGAAAAATATAGTTTTTTTCAAAATTTTCCTTTTTTTTTTCGTTTTGTTTTTTGGGTGCAACGTTGCGTGACCGCGCAATTACATTTTGGCCGAAATTTATGATAATTTTTTCTCAGAATTTTTGATTTTTTCTTGTTTTATAGCGCAACAAATAAAAACTGCACAGGGGATCATATAGCAGCGAAAGAAAGCTCTATTTGTAGAGAAAAAAAGGCCATAAATGTCATTTGGGTGCGGCGTTGCATGACCGCGCAATTGTCAGTTAAAGTAACGCAGCGCCGTAACGCAAAAAATGGCCTGGTCAGGAAGGGGGGCGGGGGGAATCCTCTGGAGGGGGAGGGGTTTATTCCTATGATTTCTTTGACACCCAGGTCAATGTGTACCCCTCCCCCCGCCCTCAGCACCACAGGTTTCCCTTGTTGACGCCCCCCCCCCCCCCCTTCTGCTGAAGCGCCCCTTTTCCCAGCCTACCCCTCATCCCGGTACCTCGGGGGTGGGGATCCTGGTGGCAGTCACATGGTGGGGGCAGAAACAACGCCGCGGGGAACTCCATGAAATTCACTTTATAGCTTCGTTTACAAACAAACCCCCAACATTGACTCTGATATTCCCTTTTGCAGGTCAGAAACCTGACGGTGATTGGGGGGCTGGGCGCCTGGTCGCCGTGGCAGCCGTGCCAGCATTCGGACGGAGATTCCTCCTGCCTCTGCCGCTCCAGGAACTGCGACAACCCCCCGCCGCAATGTGGGGGGAGGGACTGCGAGGGGCCGCGATAGAGATCACCAACTGCTCGCGGTAAGTGCGACTCTTATCACATCGTCTGCAGGAATCCATCCCGGGCGTGTCCCAATACAATGATGGAAATGTGTATTTGCTCCCCTCTGATGCTGAATGTTCGCCCCTCACAGAAATGATCGGTCTAACAATGGAATGTTCGCCCCTCACACAGAAATGATCGGTCTAACAATGGAATGTTCGCCCCTCACACATATAAATGATCGGTCTAACAATGGAATGTTCGCCCCTCACACCGAAATGATCGGTCTAACAATGGAATGTTCGCCCCTCACACCGAAATGATCGGTCTAACAATGGAATGTTCGCCCCTCACACAGAAATGATCGGTCTAACAATGGAATGTTCGCCCCTCACACAGAAATGATCGGTCTAACAATGGAATGTTCGCCCCTCACACAGAAATGATCGGTCTAACAATGGAATGTTCGCCCCTCACACAGAAATGATCGGTCTAACAATGGAATGTTCGCCCCTCACACAGAAATGATCGGTCTAACAATGGAATGTTCGCCCCTCACACAGAAATGATTGGTCTAACAATGGAATGTTCGCCCCTCACACAGAAATGATCGGTCTAACAATGGAATGTTCGGTGTAACACTGAGAGACAGAATAGCAACAACAAATTCAGCAGAAATGCGTCTAACAAATGATGACGGATCTGCATGTTCATGAGGGAAAGAAGGATTTGATCCCCTTCACAAAACATGACTTAGTACTTGGTAGCAAATCCCTTGTTGGCAATCACAGACGTCAGACGTTTCCTGGAGTTGGCCCCCAGGTTCGCACACATCTCAGGAGGGATTTTGGCCCACTCCTCTTGGCAGATCCTCTCCAAGTCATTAAGGTTTGGTGGCTGACGTTTGGCAACTCGAATTTTCAGCTCCCTCCACAGATTTTCAATCGGATGAAGGTCTGGAGACTGGCTAGGCCACTCCAGGACCTTAATGTGCTTCTTCTTGAGCCCGCTCCTTTGTTGCCTTGGCCGTGTGTTTTGGGTCATTGTCATGCTGGAAAACACCCATCCACCACCCACTTTTTCAATGCCTGGCTGAGGGAAGAAGGTTCTCACCCATGATTTGAGGGTACATTGCCCCGTCCATCGTCCCTTTGATGCGGTGCAGTTGTCCTGTCCCCTTAGCAGAAAAACACCCCCAAAGCAGAATGTTTCCACCACCATGTTTCACAGTTGGGATGGGGTGTTCTTGGGGTCATAGGCAGCATTCCTCCTCCTCCAAACACGGCGAGTTGAGTTGATGCCAAAGAGCTGGATTTTGGTCTCCTCTGACCACAACACTTCCCACCAGTCCTCCTCTGCATCATTCAGATGTTCAGTGGCAGACTTCAGACGGGCCTGGACATGGGCTTTCTTTGAGCAGAGGGACCGTGCGGGGGCACTGCAGGATTTCAGTCCTTGTCGGCTAGTAGTGTGTTACCAATTGTTTTCTTGGTGACTGTGGTCCCAGCTGCCTGGAGATCATTGACAAGATCCTCACGTGTAGTTCTGGGATGATTCCTCACTGTTCTCATGATCATTGACACTCCACGAGGTGAGATCTTGCATGGTGCACCAGACCAGGGAGACTGACACTTGTTTTGTGTTTCTTCCATTTGTGAATGATTGCACCAACTGTTGTCACCTTCTCACCAAGCTGCTTGGCCATAGTTTGGTAGCCCAGTCCAGCCTTGTGTAGGTCTACCATCTTGTCCCTGACATCCTTGGACAGCTCTTTGGTCTTTGCCATGGTGGAGAGTTTGGAATCTGATGGTCTGATTGCTCCTGTGGACAGGTGTCTTTTATACAGGTAACACAATGAGATTAGCAGCACTCCCTTTAAGAGACTGCTTCTAATCTCAGCTTGTTACCTGTATGAGAGACACCTGGGAGCCAGAAATCCTGCTGAATGATAGGGGATCAAATCCTTCTTTCCCTCATGAACATGCAGATCCGTCATCATTTGTTAGACGCATTTCTGCTGAATTTGTTGTTGTATTCTGTCTCTCAGTGTTACACCGAACATTCCATTGTTAGACCGATCGTTTCTGTGTGAGGGGCGGACATTCCATTCTTAGACCGATCATTTCCATTGAGGGGCGAACATTCCATTGTTAGACCGATCATTTCTGTGTGAGGGGCGAACATTCCATTGTTAGACCGATCATTTCTGTGTGAGGGGCGAACATTCCATTGTTAGACCGATCATTTCTGTGTGAGAGGCGAACATTCCATTGTTAGACCGATCATTTCTGTGTGAGGGGCGAACATTCCATTGTTAGACCGATCATTTCTGTGTGAGGGGTGAACATTTCCATTGTTAGACCGATCATTTCTGTGTGAGGGGCGAACATTCCATTGTTAGACCGATCGTTTCTTCTGTGTGAGGGGGCGAACATTCACCATCAGGGGGGAGCAAATACACATTTCCTGCACTGTATACAGCAAGTGTCTCCTCTCCCCAGTGATCAGACTGTACATTGTAACTTTGTAGAAGGAGGAGGAGTCATTTCCTCAGTCTTCCTCCTCCCCTCCCCCAGTGATCAGACTGTACATTGTAACTTTGTAGATGGAGGAGGAAGCATTTCCTCAGTCACCTCCCCTCTCCCCTCCCCCAGTGATCAGACTGTACATTGTAACTTTGTAGAAGGAGGAGGAAGCATTTCCTCAGTCTCCTCCCCCAGTGATCAGACTGTACATTGTAACTTTGTAGTAGGTCACATGGTGAGAGGCTGCAGCAGGGGGCTGATCTGTGTCAGACATTTGTGCACAGGCACTGGGATTTAATGACTGTGCCATCTCTGAGTCGGCATCTCAGTCCGGGAAGGACGGTGACCCTGGATGATGCCTGAACAGAGATGGTGCCGTCCTTCTGGAGAGGAGACCGATGAAGGTGCTGGCGGGGGGAGTTCGGTGGTAACAGAAGGGTGGTGCATGCGGCACTTCATATGAACAGTCTGTGTGTGATGACAGGTCCTCTGTGGTGGGATCTCGGTGTGGATGGTGAAGCTGAACCTGAGAGCTCTCTCCTCCTGTCTAAATCACGATGCAGCCTCCATGCAGATGCCGAATTTAATTGTTTTTGTTATTTTACATTTTTTATTAAGCCGCCGAGTCAGAGGGGGGATGGGGAGGGGAGTGCGGGGGAGGGGAGCGTGATTTCTGTCCGATATTATTTTTTATTATAAAGAAGATGGAAAAATATCGCATCTTAATCACACCCGCAGTCCCCAGATCTATCGCCACCAGGGGGCGGTATTGGGGACATTAGAGTGTAAGCTCCTCTGGTACAGAGACTGATGGGACTGTGGGGGAGGGGACATTAGAGTGTAAGCTCCTCTGGTACAGAGGACTGATGGGACTGTGGGGGAGGGGGACATTAGAGTGTAAGCTCCTCTGGTACAGAGACTGATGTGACTGTGGGGGAGGGGACATTAGAGTGTAAGCTCCTCTGGTACAGAGACTGATGGGACTGTGGGGGAGGGGACATTAGAGTGTAAGCTCCTCTGGTACAGAGACTGATGTGACTGTGGGGGAGGGGACATTAGAGTGTAAGCTCCTCTGGTACAGAGACTGATGTGACTGTGGGGGAGGGGACATTAGAGTGTAAGCTCCTCTGGTACAGAGACTGATGGGACTGTGGGGGGAGGGGACATTAGAGTGTAAGCTCCTCTGGTACAGAGACTGATGTGACTGTGGGGGAGGGACATTAGAGTGTAAGCTCGTCCTCTGTACAGAGACTGATGGGACTGTGGGGGGAGGGGACATTAGAGTGTAAGCTCCTCTGGTACAGAGACTGATGTGACTGTGGGGGAGGGGACATTAGAGTGGTAAGCTCCTCTGGTACAGAGACTGATGAGGGACTGTGGGGGAGGGCGGGGGACATTAGAGTGTAAGCTCCTCTGGTACAGAGACTGATGTGACTGTGGGGGAGGGGACATTAGAGTGTAAGCTCCTCTGGAAACAGACACTGACTTTGGACCGTGAGGGGAGGGGGACATTAGAGTGTAAGCTCCTCTGGTACAGAGACTGATGGACTGTGGGGGAGGGGACATTAGAGTGTAAGCTCCTCTGGTACAGAGACTGATGGGACTGTGGGGGAGGGGACATTAGAGTGTAAGCTCCTCTGGTACAGAGACTGATGGGACTGTGGGGGAGGGGACATTAGAGTGTAAGCTCCTCTGGTACAGAGACTGATGGGACTGTGGGGGGGGGGACATTAGAGTGTAAGCTCCTCTGGTACAGACACTGATGGGACCGTGGGGGATGGGCTTGGGGACATTAGAGTGTAAGCTCCTCTGGTACCCAGAGACTGATGAGACTGTGGGGGAGGGGACATTATAGTGTAAGCTCCTCTGGTACAGAGACTGATGAGACTGTGGGGGAGGGGACATTAGAGTGTAAGCTCCTCTGGTACAGACACTGATGGGACCGTGGGGGAGGGGACATTAGAGTGTAAGCTCCTCTGGTACAGAGACTGATGTGATCGTGGGGGAGGGGACATTAGAGTGTAAGCTCCTCTGGTAACTGAGACTGATGTGACTGTGTGGGGGAGGGGACATTAGAGTGTAAGCTCCTCGGGTACAGAGACTGATGTGACTGTGGGGGAGGGGACATTAGAGTGTAAGCTCCTCTGGTACTGAGACTGATGTGACTGTGGGGGAGGGGACATTAGAGCATAAGCTCCTCTGGTGCATTGAGTGATGGGACTGTGGGGGAGGGGACAATTAGAGTGTAAGCTCCTCTGGTACAGAGACTGACAATGTGACTGTGTGGGGGGGGGGACAGTAAAGTGTAAGCTCCTCTGGTACAGTGACGGATGATCCTGTGTACTGCGGTGGAAGATGACCTGGAAGTCGTTCTGATGACGTCATCACGTTTATGCAAATACAACAATCAGCACAAGTAGTCATCGATCAGCTGACATATCTCAATAAAGGCGGCACAGCGAGTTCCGAGGTCGTCTGGCGGGTCCATTATTTGATCTCACAGGAGGATTGGC